TTAATCAAGCGTTAATTAAGACTAGAGCGGCTGGCTCCCAGAGCTCTCCTCTTCTCGCTCCTCGTGATGCTGGGAGGGAAATTAAGCAAAGATGTCGCAGTGCCTAATGCTTCGGTCGGTCGTAAGGATCGCGCCGGCGCTACGTGACTCCCAAACTCGTAAACAGCTCCGTTATTTAGGGGATGATAATTGACCGTTTCGTTCACCCCCGTCGCACTTACTCCACGAATCTCCCGAAACAGTGGAAAATGACGAGTCTGGGAAATTCGCCAATGCGCTATAACGCAGTTGATGTTTACGAGAGACGATCTCTCTCTTCTCTTCTCTTCTCTCTCTCTCTCTTCCTCGTTCTTTCATCTCTTTTCTCTTCTCTCGTAGAAAGGGGATAGAGAAGTGAAATTCGATACGCCATTGTTGTATATCACACGAGCATAATCTCGCTTATTCGCTCCCATGATGGATACATGCGGTGCATTCATGTTTATTGCACTGGCAAGTCGATATTAATAACGGTAATCAATTATTTCGTTTGAGAATCACGATACTTTTAATAATAAACAACTTTAAAAATAAAAAGTTGTTGGTATACGAAGAAAGAAACATGTTTATTTAGGCTTAATATGCCAGTTTATTGCCTAGTCATTTTTCTTACAAAAGATGACTTAAGATTAAGATCAATAAATTACGAAGCGCACAATTGTATATTTTTTTGTATAACTTTTGTCAACAAATGTTATATGACATATCTATTAAATTAATTAGTTTAAAGATAACATAGAAAAATGCGTGATTATTTTTCTTAAGTCACACTTTACGGTTTATAATCGCAATTTTGATAGTCTTTTTAATAAAAGCTTTATCAGATATGAAAGTGGCGTCGACACTCATCGACGATTCTGCGAGTCGGTTAAGTTGCGGAATGGATTTTCTCCGCAAGAGAGGGAGGACACAGTGTGTCGGCTAAAAGCATTTTTGCGTCGGCCATCATGGGGCTATCATCCACCATCGATCCGCTTTATTCATAACTTTCGCTGGCCGTTGATATAGCCGAGGACACTTTCTTTTTATCTATAGTGTATAGTTTTCATCATATATGTTTTACAATCTTCTGTCATTAATGTATTGATACAGAGTTATATAAAATGCTTGCTTAGAATTAAGCATCACCATAGTGTCTCCATTAAAAATTTACGTTAATCAATTAGATTCAGTTATGCAATAAGAAACCAAGCGCCATTTTCGTAATTTTCAGTTCAATATTGATTTTTGTTCTGTATTGTACAGGAGATATAGAAGATTTTCTAAAAAACGCATATAACACAAAATTATATTTAAGGAAGATTATAGTTCGGTTAATACATATATTTGAAATAACGTCGGCACAGAATTTTATTTCTTTTTGTTCTTAGCAATGAAAACAAAAGCAAGAGGTATACAAAAATATGTAGGTATTTCTTTTAAATAATATCTGTATCGAAATATATTAAACGAGATCTTAAATATAACAAAAATGTTATTAATATCATAAGTGTAAATCCTCTATTATGAATACTTTGTGCAATTATTGAAAAAGCAGTTATACAAATTTCCCTAGAAAATCTGGACGATAGATATCGATGCGCGTGGTTGATATTACTACGTTTTGGTGAATCGTTCGGGGCTCCAACGATGCGGTATGTCACCGTTTAGGGCCCATTCAGAACGACAATCTGTCGTGTCTTGTCAGGCAGCTTCTTTTTCGTGGAATATCTTCGGTAAAACCTAAGCAACGTAGAAAAACCTTTCGTAGGCTTCGCTTTGTTGGAGGTGTGAGATTACAAAGAGAAAGAAAAGGGAAGCGATCGCGTATTTTGTGTATGGGACAATCCTGTGAACCCCATGCCGAGCTATCCGAGGATTTCCCGACCGCATGTCCTGTAGATTATCTGATGGACAGGATGTAGCGTTTAGGCTTATACTTGCCTATTTTTCTTGCCAATACGTGAAAATCTTTCAGCGATATAGATTTGCAAATTTCTTCTGCTTGTTTCGAGAAAGTTCCGATTCGCGGAATTTTCGGATTCTAACACTGACAGGAATAAAGACTATCTGTCAAACAATTTTTTATGACTTAAAATTCAAATGTGCAATAACTTATAATTGCTGGCTTATTGACTTGGTATCAATTTTTATTATTAATTTTATAATTATTAAGTATTAATTTTTCTTTATTATTTTATCTTGTATTTATTATTATTAAATAGTACATTCAATAATTATTTAGTAAATATATAAACTTTTAAAATAAAACAATATATTTTTGTACTTCATAGAGAAAAAGTGCAAGATCTTCAATATTACGAAAAAATTTTCGTTATGATCTGAGGCAACCTATTAAAACGTTCCGTGCTTGCGACGATACAATTTCTAGCATTATAATTTTCCGTTTCGTGTAGAATGGCGCAGCACGATCACGGGAGATATTCACGGTCAGACAAATCTGTCCTACGAATTGTTAGCACATGTCCGCGTATGCCGACAAAGCGGACGAAACTTCCCCGCTGGGTCGTTAAAGCCAGTGACGAATTTCTCTTTCTGTCCTATCCGCATCTCAATTTTCCTGACAAATGTCGAAAACGCGGTCAAAAACTTTCTGTTGTAATTGGAGCGTATGTTTTATAAAGTTACAGAAACTTGATATTAACGTTTATTGAGATTTAACATTTCTTATTGTTAAAATTGTCAGTTGGATTTAAATATATCTTCAATTTAAATGCTAAAAAATGCACTCTTGAATTAAATATAACAAAAATGCGTGACAATATGTTCTATATTCATATTTCATAGATTTATCTCTCTATATTGTTATCCTGCAATCTACTTTTTTTGCTATGTGTCTTCTAACATCAGCTTCTTGTAAATAAGCCATCTGTCATTCTTCGCAACGAAGTATGCTGCTACGCCAATGCACAAGTTAGCGCATCATTGTCGTGGGTGAGACTCCGGGACAGATCCTAATCTGTCGTGTAACCTAGTGAGAAGTCCCATTGTAATGCTCAGGTTCGTGCCCATCTTCCAAAAACGCACGTTAATGGTCCCGGTAGCAAAGTAGCCATTATGACTATCGAGGATTCGTGCCGCCTTGATTCCTTTTCAGCGTCCTTTACCAAACTGTCCTGTTTTCTATTCGGTTATTGTGAATTGTCACACGAGTTTTTCAATTGCACGTGGACTAATACATCAAAGATGCGATATATTCGTTTCAATTCACATAACGTGCTATGTGGATTTATTATATTTATATAGATATATATGTAATTTCTATGCCTCTTTTCTCTCTTCCGATTAACTAATTTTATAAAAAATTTAGATGCTAATATATTAATTTTGCTGTATTATTAATTCACGGAGTTAAACATTAAATTTTTTTATTTAATTCTAGTTTATAAAGTTTTATCACATATAATTGCGATTTTTATATAAATTATTTTATTTTAAATATAATGAAAAATATATACCTTATATAGATTTAAATTTTTAAACTAAGAATTATAATTTAATGTAAAGTATTGTATATAAAAATGTAAATATATTGACTGCAACGTACAAAAATAAGAAGCGTTTTCGCATTCCATGAATTCTAAAGATTAAGAATGAGATGAAAGGCTCAGAAAAGAATAAGAAGATGAAGATCAAACTATGAATTGGGAAAGAACGGTGGTTTGTGAATGAAAAGGATCCGAAGTGTCAAAGTGAACCAAATGTCTTGCGGTTCATCTGATGTTTTTGAAATCCGAAAGGATTATTCACAAACTGCGGATCTTCAAAGTTCCCAATGAAGAAATATTTCCTATCATTTGAAGCGTTGACCGGGATTGCTTACCTGTAGAATCAACCCTTATCCACCTGTGAGATTTATTGATTTTTATGAACGTGCACACTAGTTGTACTTAAGACCAGCAGGTGGTGCAAGCCTACAGGTCAACTCTTATTGAAAACAATCAGATATGAGATCCTAACAAATTTTTAAAAATTGCAAAAACAAAATATAGAATTGTCTCCATCGTATCACCAATGATTTAGTTTTTACTTGTCTTAAAAAATATATTTCTTTATATAATGGAGACTTTGTTTATGTTTGATCTCAACATTTGATCGAGACAATTCAATCTATTTTGTAACTAACTAGATACTTTTATTTTGGACGACGATAATTATTGTAAGCGATTCCACTTGACGCATACAACTGTTAATGGTCAAAATATTTTTGTAAATGGTGGGGAGGGTTCATGATAGAAGTGCAAAATGTGTTTTACCGCACGAGGCGAGGGTGACGAGGAGAATATTCGTAGCTTCCCGTTGGCAAATGGGGTGTCCAGGAACGACGCCGACGCATCGGGGTGAGACGCTTGGCCAGCCAAGCGTCGCGTCAGACCGCGCTAGACAATTGAAAAAAATCACTTGTCTCACCCTAAAAGTAGGGACGATTCGTGGATGCTGGAGCGAAAAGTCACAGGGCAGATGCAAGGGCGATGAGAGAACGATATCCGCGAGCGACAGTCCGTTAAACGCAATGTTCCGGATCCAAAATGTCGCGGTTTCTTGCCGCCGGAAGTACATATAATGCTTACTATTTTATACCGTTTCGTGCACATGCACCTCGATCCGATCCGGAAAATAATTTTATCGCGCAGTCGCGCGATAACTTATAGTCATAAGTGTTAACTATGATGAAAGTATGCTAGCATAGAAACCGAACCAACTATTCTTATTCTAATCAAAGATGCACAAAAATCGTGATACTTTAAAAGTTGAAGTTTAGTTTTTTTTCATACTTGTAACACAGATCCGATTTTTCATTATGTTACCAACTATTATGGGGATAATTTTGCAATACTATATATGCTCGCAGAAAAAAACGCTTAATCATCATATATTACTATCTAATCTTTTTAATATTATGGTGTTATATAATTAGCGATTTATAGAGTAACGTTTGTGTGTGAATGGATGTGTTCCAGGTCCGCATAGCTGGCAGCGGAGTAAGAGGCTGGTTGGATGCATCTCACGAGGCGAACAATTGGCTAAAGTATATTCGAAGTACTGCTAGCTCACACGCAGTGAACATGCGCCACGTACTCATCGGCGGTCAGGTAAGGAAAATTTAATAATCGAGTAACGTAATTGAGAGCTTGAGAATCAGCGATACAATATTTCGTTAACGATATAAACCTACGATAAGCAAATCATATGTGTGCGCGGCACCTCTAACTCGGTAATTTAATATAGGTGTATCGTAAAAATTAAAAACAAGAAAAGAACTTACAAGTTACTGGTTGGAATAGCAATAGCAAAAATAGACAACGTTAATAACCAATTAGAATCGACGTTTGCCTGTTTCATAACCCATTTTACCTGCGGCGCAAAAACACGCGTACAGATCGGTGGTAAGATAATTTCGCAGAGAAGTGAATTATTTGGTATCACTAATCGGCATCTGCGATCTTGAGCTTCGATCCGGGTGCCTTGTACACGCGTATAAAAAGAAATCCTTCACTTCTTCGCTTCTCGTGTACAAGTGGCATGCACGAATAATTATTTCGCATTAAAATTGTATTAATTTAGATGTTAAAAATATTTGCAATTGTTGACAATTCAGAAATCACTGTAATGAATGCGTGTTATTTAAAAAACGAATGATCTCTGAAATAATACATATCAAAGAGCTACATACAAACGGGATTAACTCTAACAAAGACACCGAATTATTGGACGAAGTTTATTTTGATGTTTTATACAATTTAAACGAACTTTCCACGGTCAGGTAATTGCAAACATTCTTTGTCCTCGTGTCAAGTTCATTCCTCTCTCAGTTCACGATGATTCTTCGCGCAGATCAGACGTGTTATACGATGCCTTATAATTATTGTCTGTCATGGTTCCCGTCATCTTTGAACAATGTAAGTCTCGGTTTTAATTTTAATTTATTTTATTGAGTCGATATTATATCATCTTATCTAAATACATTTATTCAGTTGCCACTAAGTTGGTCCAGAAATGTATGGTGCCTTTTGAAATTGTGGACTTGCATGGGTCTCCACGGGACGATGATACTTAATAAAAACGGAAATTTAACTGGAGCATGATTGACTTGCGAAGAAAGCGTTCTACAATGTTTAAGTTTTTTGACTTTGTGATTGCGGTACTTCTCCATGTTTGATTGATTGCGAGTTGACTCCGATATATGTTAGTTTATTAATTATTTGCTTAACTGACAATTCTGATGAAGTCCGAGTATGGTACGAAACGTTAATTTAATAAATCTTGATACAAGTTAAAAAAATTTTTGTAACATCGATTAATGCTCGTATACCGGTCCTACTCCTCATTATAGCCTTTGCTTCAAACGAGCGGAAAATAATATTTTCGTGTTATTTATATCAAACAGCTTATTTCATCATAAGATAAAAAATGATGCGAATTTTTCTATTTAATCTTCATGGTTTTTGATATTATTAGCAGTTTTGTTAACAATACAATGAAGAGTTGCTGCATTATTATAAACAAATTCACCCCAATGTTAAAAATGTTTAAACACTTGGCAGAGCCACTTTCTGATTCACCCTCCAATTAACTTTTATACGCAACTGACACTCAATCGACAGTTGCAGTTAATAGGGAACAATAATTACGCGCCAAGTAGAATTCCAATTTATTGCACATATGTCATCGATTGTTAAAAAGCTTATTAGTACTTCACAAAATTATCATATTGTTCTCTGCATATTCAACCATCTATTTCAAATGACTGTTTTCCTGTAATATACCCATAAATTTTTTTAAAAACTCATTCAGATATAAAATGTTACATTCACTGTTCAATAACGAGATAAACAATTCTTATTCATTTTTTAAAGCAAAATAGGAAAATTTGAGAAAATAAAACAATAATTTATAAAACACATTTTAAAGAAGAATATCAGAATTTGTAAGATTCAATGATAAGATTAGTTCCTGTAAGTTTTAAATAGATTTTAATTTCGAAGCCATCTTTTAATTTAATAAAAGAAAGTATTGAAAAAACAGATTGTCCCTCTAATCCCTTTTAAAAGCACTGTACTCATATATGATTGGCCGTCGAATAGACGTATAAACGGAAACGATGGAGGTCACGGTGTCAATTTAGGGTCGAGCTCATGCTTCTGTCCATTTGGCTCTTTCTCTCTTTCTCTCTGTGAACCGTGGCACATGGTATCTTCGATGTTGTGGGCGCGACGTAAGCTACATGTATACAGGGTGTTTAGTTATTAAGTCACCCCACGGGGTCGTTTCTCTGACTTCCTATACGCCCTCTCGCAATCGCTGTGGGAATGGGGGACGCGACGCTCTCTATCAGTGCCCTGCAGAATCGTCGTAATGATGCTTCGGGGCCCCGTGACGACACTATAAAGATCGTTTCATGGCGTCCCGAGCTCTATAGAATCGCATGCAGATTATGTGTCGCGTGTGAAGGGATTTTCTTTAATAAAATCGAGACGCGCATGCCCGAAACATCAATACATGTATAGCATCTACCATTTTTACCATTTTTTTCTTCATTGACATTATCATTTATTTCGACATCATTATAATTGATTTAGACATAAAGTAGGAAAAGAATCATATACTGTTGCCTTTATAATGTTTGTAATGATTCTTTTACCGTCAACAACATTAAGGTATAAATGGCAATTTTGCGGTAGAAAAATTTTATAAAATGTCACGCAACTAATGCAATTTTTCATACATTTATTATTTTGCAAAAATTGTATTTAAAAATAATTGCATGTTGTGCGAACCACTGCTTACAATTAGATGAAAAACAAATAATTTTAGCATAATTTATAATCTTTATAAACTTACAAGCGCCTTGCAGAATTAATTTTTACGTCATAATTCCTAGCACTGTAAAATTAAAGAATTTTTAAATTATTTTGAAATATTTGTGTTGTGTGTTGCTGAAAGATTTAAGAACTGAGCATTAAATAACAATTCTGATAATAGATGGTGTATGAGGCTGTTCGCGATATTGCAACGGGCGAAGAGCTTCTTTTGGGTCCTCGGGAACCGCTTCAGCTGCAGGACATGCTGGGTGAGAATACGACCGAGGACAGAAGCGATCGAGAAACTGGTGAGCATTCAGTCACGCAAGAACTTGCGCTAGACAATCTTCATTAATTTCTTTATCAAGTTTTTTACGAATAAGTTTATCTCTCCACTTTAGACAATACAGAAAAAATATTATTTTAATTTATTTTTAAATAGTTGAATAATAATTTTAAAATTCTGTTTCGTACACCAAATATATAATCGTAACTCTTTTAACGTCGGTAAATCGATAATGTTGTGTATTTAAAAACGATATAATTAATAAATCTAAAATAAATTTAATAAACCTAGAATATCCGTTTAATAGGTTGAACACACAGATTGATTAAACTTTTTGAATAAAAAATAGAAAATAAACAATGCACATTTGGAATAATGTTTAGAAAATGAAAGGAACGAAAATACGAATTAAAATAATATTCAGATGGCCGGCAAGATATCGGCGTTCACGATCGTTTTGGCACAGCTTGACGACTTTCGGTGCCGATACACATCGCGCACGTTGGCAGCTCGTGCGCGTACAATTACGCATATGAACGCAAATGAAGGGCAAGGGGCAGGTGTTTTCCGAAACGACGAATCGGGGGCGGGCAGAGGGTAAATCGTGGATCGTTGTGTGCACGAGCTGCTCGTCATGCACCCTTGACTCTGGCGTGATTCACCTGGTCGGCCGTTGCGTATTAACCCTCGTCCGGTAATAAGCGCTGATTATTTGCAGATAGACGTGTTCGAGTCACATGTCGCCGTGCCCCGTGTCGCTTCGACTTTTGTCCGGAACCATCCCTCTCGTCCATCGCGAACAAAAATACTGCACGCTCTAGTCGTGATATTTACGATTTTTTGTTAAAATTATCATTATTTAATGTATATATGTAAATATGTATTGCATTATATAAACTAATAATGTACACATTTACACATAACTTTTTTATGTCGGTGAGATTTTAATTATAATTTGTTCCGAATTGAATTGTTTTGAATTGAATATACTTTGCTTTCTTCTATCAGAAAATTCTTATTTCTTATTACTATTAAAATATTAATTTTTTAAACCAATTTTTAAACGCCCATTTTAATATGTTCATTTAATTTAATCGATCGTTAGATTTTATTGTGTGGACCATTGCGCCATTAATATATTTGAGATATTTACGAAGAAGGGTAGCGTCTACGTGCTTCACTGCTCGACAATTATCTGGTTGTAACTTCTGCATGATGGTCAAAATCTGGATGATGACTTGGTAGGGTCGAATTAGGACCGGAGGGTTATAAGCGACACCCAGATGTCGCGACAATTAAAACCGGGCTTATTGTCGAAGTTCTGCCGTCACGAAGTCTACGGTTAATTCGCCCACAGTTTTTCGTCATAATTTTAGGAAATGCTCGTAAAATACGTCTTTGCACGTGGAAGATACGCCGTTCCTACTAATAGATTCATTATTAAATTTTCTTTTGACGAAACCAGTGAAGATAAGTTTCTTTTAGTTTTTATTAGTAAAATATCTTTCACGTAACATGATTGCTAAAACAATTCGATAAAATTTGGAAAAAATAACAACATATAATTTGTAACACATAGAAATACTTCATAGAAATCTGATAAAACATTTTTTAATGTAAATACCATTTCGCTGAAATTTTTTCAGTCGTTTAAAAATACATACTCTCTAAATCTGAATCAGTGACTATTCACTGATTCAGATTTAGAGAGTACAGAAATAACATCACATGTTATCATTTATTATACACTTACATGATATCTATATAAATAATTATGTCATTTATTATACGTACTATAGTATGTCTATATAAATATTCGACAAAGTAAACTATTCTTTTTTACTTAAAGAAAAAAATATTGTAAAGATAATAATGCTTTTGTCAAACAACAAAATCACGAGAGAAAACGTCATTTACATACACATTAAAATAGAATGGTGGAACAGACTCCAAAAGGGAGACGCAGTTTTATGAGATAGCTTTAGTAGCAGAAAGTTAGAGCGGTAATTAAGTCGAGCCTACCGATAATGTTCCTTTCTCTGAATTAATTTAGAAATTATATAAGAACCTTATTTTTACGATAACAGGCAGATTAGGTCGTGGAAGAAATTGCATCTGCGAATTTTGTTCACTTTATATTAATAATATCCTAATAATTTTTTTCAAAGTAATTACATTACTAATGAGCAGTAAATATTAATAAAATTTACTATGTTTTTAACAATTTATATTTATGTAAGTTGTCCGCAAATTTTGCAATTATTTATTTCAATATATGAGAGAGAGGCATTAGGTAATAACTTATTAATATCATCAGCTGTATGGTTGACACTTCTTTTGTTGATACTGATTCTGCAGATCTCGTTTCGTTATACTGAGATCTTTGTTCGTTATACCGATATCTTTGTTCTCGGTGGACGTAATTTTACGCATTAAGAGATATTAATGCCGCGACTTTAAATGGCATAAGAGTGGTACTGGCGTTAATCCAGTAAAGCCATTTTTACGAGGGAATCTCCTGCAAGCTGGTGCGTGCAGCAGGAATAATGATGTCAAACAAACGACGTACGTTCCGTATCAACCCTTGCGAGGGGCATCTGCGCCGCGTCTCTCCCTCGGACGGATCATTTTTTTTCACGGGGAGAGAGACAAGGGAAAGCGAACAAGGGAAAGCGAAAGAAAAAGATGCGAGGAATCATTTTAACACGCCTACGTGGGGTGCGCGTAGCGAAGCATTCAACCGGAGTTGTATGTTAACTTAATCTCATAGAGAGAGACGTGCATATATCTATACCGAATATTCGCATTAAAAAATTTATATTCCGCCTGCACGTATTCAATCCGCCTTCGATATTAATTCTTTATAGATACAGATCTTCTCTTTTTTTCAACAGGGGAAGAAAAGATCTTAATAATTAAAAATATTATAATAAAATGAGGATATGGAGATATTAAAATAAATTTTTTAAATGTCGTATTTCAATTAAGTTAAAAGAGAAAGAAAGTTTAACAAATAATTAGGATAATATTGCAAGTAACTGTAACTTATGATGATAATGTTATAATACATATGTATATATTTAATCTAACCACTTAGATAATTATTTAATATATATCTCTGCATATGTTTGTCGATACGATAAGTACTTGCGTTAACTGCAACATTATGACTTTTCCCAGACATTTTTCGACTTACATACGAATTGAGTTGCGGTAACATGGCAGATGCAATTGTTGTGGACAGTTACGGTGACTTATGACTGTGACTTTCTGCGGTGCTTGTTTTTTCTATCGCCGTTTTTCCTTTTTTGCACGCAGAGAAACGCGTTTATATCATCGGCGTGTTTTCCGATAGCTCTTTAGGGTAGCGGATAATTTATAGCCAACTATTGTCGATTAACACGCGCATAACCAGGTCTCAGGGAAGACCGAAAAAAAGGGCACGATTCGAATGAGAAAAAAGGGGTATACGCATACAAAAGGGCACGCGACACTCTTTCCTGAGGGGGTGGTGTACTCCGAGGTAGGGAGGTACGTGTGACATGTTACAACCCCATCTGATTCATCGGACTAATGACACATTTATTTGACGTTTGATTCGAAATCGCTACGGTCGCGTGCGACAAATTGTTACTGAAAGATCCAAGCAGATATCGATTTTCCGTTTGATTAATTGAAAAAAAAATTTTTTTTTCCTAGTTATCGTATAATGCAAGAAATGTGAATATTGCTAAAGAAAAAATTCGTATTATGTGTATTTTAGGAATAAGAAAACACTTCTGCAAAATCGTGTATTGTTTAAATCTTTGAACAAAAAATATTACATATGTAATATAAATAGTTATATATTACACATATATTACATAGATCATTGACTTTTTAATATATTATCATGAAAGAAGTTACCTTTTTCCTTTTCATCGAATTTTTCTTCTTCTTCAATGGTACTACAGCTCAAGATCGAGCCATAGCGTCTTGAAATTTGGCCTTTATCAAATTAAGTTGCATTAAAAAAGATATAGCTTATTCATATCAACCATCAAAATTTTTAAATCAAGAATTAGTTAATTTAACTAATGTTTAGTTGAACGTATCGGACTAAATATTTTAGTTGGATAAAACACATTTTACGCTTTTCAACAAATTTTTTTCTTAGTGTGGCGATCAAATAAAAACTGATAATTTTTGGTCGGATTTGAACTCGGATCTTCGGCTCATTAGACCAGCACATCTTTCTACGTCATAATTGCCACTAATATTTGAGAAAAGAAAGCTATTTATACAATTTCTACAGTGACTGCAAGAATTTAATGCAACTTGATCTCATTAAAACCCTTTTAATTTTAATAAAAAAAAAATTATATACTTAAAAAAACTGACAGAAAAGTGTAAAGTAAACGAAAACATAGGTGAATAAACGAATAGATTTATTTTGATATATTTATCGACGTATTTTAATGATGTCGTTTGAATTTTGAACGTCACGATGCAGCAAGAACATTGATTTCCGTTACTTTTTCCCATGCAACTGCCAACTGACTACTCGACTGCGGGGGGTGTTACCAGTGGATCCCACCTGTTGACTTTCCGCAACGTGACTTTGCTACTCCTTCTACGCGGTAGATTAACATAATACTTTCAACCGTTTTCATAAATTTGAGAGAAATGATTGTTTGTGAATATTATATGTTGTAAATATGCGATCTTGATTCTCATATAAGTTATTTATATTTCTTTGATTCAAGTTCTATGTAAAAAATTCTTGCTATAAGAAAATGAATTATATTTATCATTCTGTAATTATAACATATGTTTTTATATACATATAAAATTTTCTACCTATTTATGTTATATGTATATAAATTATTTATGCAAAAACTTTGTACAGCTAGATATATTGAAAACAATTTACATACATTAAAAAATTATTTTAAAAGAGATTAATTCCATATTCTAATATCTCTTCTGTTGTATTTAAATCAACATTTTTTTTACTTAGCACATCTGAATATTATCTCACATCCGTGATGATTCTTGATTATAATCTTATTTATTAGTTATTAATATTCGTTTTTCATCTCGATCGTTTTTTCAATATGATGGGTTCGAACTATGCCGTCTCGAGGGTGATAGAGGTCGACCGCATCTTTCATTGTCTAAATTCACGGCGTGCCGCTACGAATTAGCCATGGAGAGACGAGCGATTAACGTACTAAGGGGGGTTAGCGTGGCGTTGGGCGTAGTTGGTGGTACGGGGGTTGTGCCCGGTTCCCATGAAGGTCCGTTGGGGGCCATCACTCGACCATATGGTCGAAACAAGTGTAGCGGCAGATTTAAATAACCGTTGGAGGTCGGATATCGTTCAAACTTAAGCAAGATCTTGCTTATACTCGCGATACAAATTAAAAATTGGGAGTTTTTAAAATTATTTTAAAACTATTTTAAATCTATAATTTGTTTTTTTCAATTTGTTTACTATTAATTACATCAATTTTTTTACATTTTTAAATATTTGTACACAAGCAGACAATTGATATAGACTACACTAGATAAATTTTTACATAGAAATTGATTAGTATACATTATTTTAGACACTATATTTTACGCTAGCACTCATGTTAGTTGCGTGTTTAATCACTGATAATCCAACTTTGTCTCCTTCATGGATTTCTGATTTTACCTGCCGTTGCGCTCTGATATTCGGGGGTGAAATGCCGCTGGGGGGCTGTCGAGACTCACCTGCGATTGGCTGCTCCCCAACGTCGCTTGTACCAATAGCAAGCGAATCTGGATATCCCCGTTTGCGTATGCAGTTACTTGGACGGTATATTGCCAACTAACGAAAACATCATTGTGTCTATTGTCTTCGTGATCGCTTGTGTGTCGGATCGTACTTATTGAAAAAGAAGAAGTGACAGTGTAGTGAAGTAACTTGAACTCGCGTTGTAACCAAATCTGTTTGATTTTTTAAGCATACAATCGTATTATAGATAGTAAATATAGATCAATATTTGGTCGAGAGATCATTAACTGGACGGTAAATATTTTATAAACTAATGACTATTTTATAAATTAATTTTTAATTAATAAATTATTTTATTTATTTTACTGGAACAACCATTAGAAATTATCGCATATGTTTGAAATTAATTTATAATTAAGAAGCGATATACGATTCTAATTGCCTGAATTCCGAGAATAAATATAATCCATGTTAAACCCACGCTTAAATTAATTCCGCATCAAATTAATTAATAAAAATGAATCAATACTAGCGTAAATTTGTATACGAAAATTATTTAACAACACAATCAAAAGCGTATAATTACGTAAATATTGTAATGTTAGTTGAGTAATTTGGCGTGAACTTTGCGAATTTGTTGAAAATTATTTTCACTATTTCCACAAAGCTTATTAAATCGTCGTCGAATTCTATAGAAACATCGAAGTCTTCATTTTGTAGATCAGGCGATATTACCGGTTTAATTTAATAATTCAGGAACAATCCATGAGTCCACTTGTCACGCCACTCCTGTGGCCCTCGCGCGGTTCTGGATCACGTAATTCGCCCACACCACGACACGTCACGTATCATCGTTTGCAGGGGGTTGTAATTTATAGAGCTATACGACCACACATACACAAATCGCGAGAAAATTGCGAGTTTTACTCGCACTATTGCCGACATGTATTGTTTGTGATCTGTATTGTTGTATTCGTCGTTTACAGCCTCTCAGCACAGTGGAACTGTCGACGAGGACAAGGAGGACGAGGAAGAAGGAGAAACGAGATGTACTGTCTGCGACAAGCCGTTTCAAGATATCGAACTGTAAGTACTGATTGCGCTACGATTTTTGTACAATTTTTTTTTCCTAACGCGAGCGTGAAATGGGCCGCTTTTCGCAATTGTTTTGAGTGAGCAAAACAATCCATTTCTCCACTAGTTGAGAAATGGAGCCATTTCTCAACTAGTGGAGAAATGAAATTGTAAAACAAGCGCGAAAAGCGACCTGTTTCACGCTCTTGTTAGGAAAAATAGTATAAACAACTCGTGAGAAGAGTGGTCGAGCCCAAATGAGTGTGATGGTCGCACGAGCGACGCTCGTGCGACCAACTTCACACTCATTCAGAATCGACCACTTTTCCCACTAGTTGTACAATATACTATCTTTTAAACAAACTAGAAAATATAAGTAATGAATTTTTTTGTTTGTATCTCTCAAAAATGTGCATTGGAAAATTACAAACACATTAAAAAAGCGTAAAAGTCTTATTTATTATTTAAAATATTATTTATGGGACATTTAAAACAATCTGTTTTTCCATTTCACATAGGGAGAAATATCGCGTTTTAATAATTTTATCATTAATATATATGTTAAATTTATATTAAATTGGAGAACAGTTGTTTTACTTGTTGTATATTTGCACGTATCCGCAAAAATGTTATTGCCGCCAGATACCTTTATTATCATACTTTCACGCATTCTATTATCCGAAGATTATTATCGTTGGCGCGACTATACAAAGCGCGACTCATCAAGGATTCATGGCACATCATTATATGCTTTTCAAATCAGATGAGCGACGATTACGTGCTTGGCAGAGCGATACGTCGGATCGAAATCAAAAGACAACGGCTCGACCGACATTAAAGTGCTCGTTGCGTCCGTCGATTTTCATCGTCAATTATTAATTAATCGATGGAATTCAGAGAGTGGGTGCCACGTAATCGCCTTCAAATCTCGGAGTTGGCGAAAGCCTTTTGTCACGCGAGCGGTTTCAAGAGTGCTCTTTAGAATCCTGAGCATTTTGAGACTCCTTGTACGATTGAATATGATGCTTAGTCAGCCTTCATTTTGTCTTGGGGCTACGTCATTGCCTTTAATTAGAGAATAATTAGTAACGGAAAGTAAAATAATGCTAACTATAAGTGCTTATGTTATTATATAAATTATTTAAATACATCCAAATCTTTATGATTTTTGGAGTAAAAAATGTAATTTTATCAGTTTATCACTAAATACTCCATATCTCGTTAATTGCAAACTCAACCAATTAAACATTGCATTTCAGTTAAATATTAGTACTTCTTATCTAATATACAATTAAGCTTCATAATTAAGCGCTTTTTCTTCCATGAATGAAATTATATTAACGCCTTGTTAACTGCAACCTGCAATAATCATGCATAATTTTTCAAAAGTACATTATGACTAAAAAATATGCCGTTCTTTCTTCTTTCGTTAGTTCCTCTCTAGATGAGTTGCTATTGGCTTTTTATTTATTTTCTTTTGTTAACTTCTATTTGCAGTCACATTCGTCTTTGAAAATAATTCTAGTTTGATAAATATCTGCCATTCCTTTTACGACCATAAAAAATAATTCACATTATAAAACACAACTCAAGTGATGGACAATTCAAAGTTTCGATTAAAATCAACTGATTCTCGTTTCTGTTTTCTATCGATGATCTCCTCGCTCTTTCAGTCGATATTAAACCGCATTCCCCGACGCGGCAGATTCACCTGTTGTGGGGCATTAAACCCTAGCCGGGATTCGTAATCGGGCGCGTTAGAGCCACCCCCTTATGCATCATCGAAAACGTCGCGTGCTCGTAGCTCATCTGGCGCAGCGCACTGTCGTTGCACCATGAAGGCACTATCTCACCACGAATGAGTTTCACGCGGCGCGTATGTTCGGGGGTGTAAAATCAATGCCGCCGCACACCATGGCACACCATCCCGTGTGACGATAACCCGCGTGGCAACGCGTGACAATCCCCTTAGGACGGCTTTTCTTCGTGACGGCGTGTGTTCGTGCGCGACGGCCGCCCTCTTCTTCATGGACGTGCGACCGTTATTACACGAGAACCGACTCGCCACTGTTCAGCCGAAGTCACTTAGTCATCATCCAAGACTGCGCCCGACGCAATCTTTGTCGGTGCAGGTCGGTTACCGTATCACGTCCTGCTTGCTCGATGTGGTGCTTTGATTAAATATATTAAACTTCGCAGGTAGAAGTGTAGTAACGTTTGGAGATATTTTTACATAGCAATGGAGTTATCGCCATTCCATCAAATATTTAATTCAAATGAACTTTTGAAGAGATAAAGGAAAATGCTATTATATGCTTTCTTCAGAAATGTATAGCTTATACACGATCTCCAGTTCATCTTCGCTGTTATAAACATTTATTTTATTTCCTTTTTTATATAGCTTTCTGATTTATTTTTTTTCTTACATTACAGTGAATGAAATATTTGCATCTTTTATTTTCAGATTGGATAGCCACCTGGTGACCTGTCATAGATACCCAGCGGAACAGCACCGCTGTGACAGCTGTCCCCGTGCTTACGCTTGGCGGCCACTTCTGGTACGACATCGTGCTATCGTTCACGGTGATCTTAGAAACTATCCCTGCGAAAATTGTCCAAAGGTAAGCTTCAAATTCGCGCTTCACTCATCGAAACCAGACAATACATCCCGAGCCAGTAGCATCTTCTAGTATCGCTAAAAGTCGAACATCCGGCAGGTCTTCACGGACCCATCAAACCTACAACGCCATATCAGAACGCATCACGTGGGGGCGAGGAGCCACGCTTGCACGGAATGCGGCAAGACCTTCGCGACCAGTTCCGGCCTGAAACAGCACACCCACATTCACAGTAGCGTGAAACCCTTCCAGTGCGAGGTCTGTTTTAAGGCGTACACGCAGTTCTCCAATTTATGCCGGCACAAACGCATGCACGCCGACTGTCGCATGCAGATCAAGTGCGTTAAATGCGGACAATCCTTCAGCACGGTAACATCGTTATCGAAACATAAGCGATTTTGCGACTCCACGACTCCGACTGGTCCGCCTGGAACCATGCCTCAATTACCGACGCCAGCGACGAGCCCCTTTCTGGTGTATCCACGACCTCCCGTGGGCCTGCCAGGCGGCTTGCCTTTTTATCCGCCTAGTCTGATGGGTCCTTATCCAGGAATTTTCCCAAATGCTTCGAATTTTCTCAACACTCCTCTGATTTTCCCGCCGAAAATCGAAGAGGTCGAGAAGAGGAGCGACAGTCCCAAGAAGGAACGTTTTACCCCTCCAAGAGTGTTGTCGCAACACAATAAGGTCTCTCCTTCCACGGCGGAGGAGGCCACTTCCACGTTTAGGCCATCTCCGGCTAGACCTCCTGTTCAACCGACACCGGAAAGTGATGACGATCTTTTAAAGAGAAGAGAAGCTAGAAGCAACGAACGAAAAATAAAAACTGAAAGCACTTTGAAGGAGGAAGCGACCGAGCAACCGTTGGATCTAAGGGTTCAGACTAAGAAACAGGACGCTATTTCAAAAACCGCAATTAAGAAAAGCCGTTCTCCGTCGCCAGCCCCAGTACCGATGGAGGAAACGCCCGCACCTCCCGATCGTCCGAAATCGGAAGAGGATGCTGCCGCTCCTCCGCCGATGGAACTCGAGTCTAAGGATGTCCAAGGAAGTAGCCCGCACTTGAGGACCAGTCTGTCAATTGAACAACCGCCGACCAATACACCACCTCACATGGCTTATCCCAGACCGATACACCCGTTGTTCCTCGAAACGATGTATCGCGGTCCAACGGGAACCTTCCCGGGATTTCCCAGCGCACCGCCACCTCCAGGAGGAGGTACCCCGGAATCTAGGCTGATACCTCCACTTCCACCCTTCGCTCCACCGCGCGGGCTTCCTTTTTTAGGCTCGCTTATGAACGGGCTCAGCGGCGCTAGGCCAGGAGCAGGATTCGATCTGCTTGCCCGGCCGCCGCTGAGCGCGTTCCCTGGGGTAAAGCCGTTCCAAGAGGCAGTAATGACGCCCCATCATCACCATCATCATCACCATCACCATCACGTCCACGGCAAGATGAAGGATCGGTACTCCTGTAAATTTTGCGGCAAAGTGTTCCCTCGCTCTGCCAATTTAACGAGGCATCTGAGAACGCACACCGGCGAGCAGCCGTACAAGTGTAAGTACTGCGAGAGGTCCTTCAGCATATCAAGCAACCTGCAGAGACACGTCAGGAATATCCACGACAAGCAGCGGCCGTTCAAGTGTCCGCTCTGCGAGAGGTGCTTCGGACAGCAGACCAACCTCGACAGACATCTGAAGAAGCACGAGGCTGACGACGGTAGCGGAGTGGTGTCGGTCGCCGATTCGCCTGGAAGCAGCAACGAAAACGAGCGAGAGGATACCTACTTCGACGAGATCAGATCCTTCATGGGCAAGGTCACTTACGGCGGTGAGAGCGGCTACGGGTTGCCGCATCACCCGGCCTATATTCCCAATCGTCTGCACGAGATAAACGAGTCCAAGATGGAGGTCGAGTATGACGAGGACGAGGACAGCGAGGAAGGTGTGTCTCCGTTGGAGGAGACAGACGGACTGTCGCCGATCGAGGCCAAGGAATCCCCGTCGCCCTCGCAGTACGACCTGAAGCTGAGGGAGAAGCAGGAGCTGCTCAATAATAATACCGCGGAGCCGGTGATCGAAATTTCGACATAGCCCAGAGGTCAGTCTGGGTGATCTGCGTGATCGCTTCGAAGGACGAGGAGAACTCGTCGTTCGTGTACAGAACTATTGTGGGATATACGTTCGTCTTAGAACTCTCGATCGTGACGGCGTTACCTTCAGGAATAATGTCGATGCAGGATTATTTAGCTTAGAACGGTCCGCGTACTTAGACTTTGCAGAATATCAACCATTTGCTTCTACAAGGCGAACAATTCTCGAGTATAATCGGGTTATTCTCCGTGATTATATCGCGATCGATACCGTAAATCCATGGAAGACAACCTATAATAATAATTATAATTATACATTGATATATCCGTACCGGAATTTTTCAGAAAGAATTTAGTGAACCCTATTATACTTGTAAAACAGGTGCTCTGTAAAAAAAAAAACGTAAAGAACTCGACGAACGTAACGAAGATTCTTCTTATGTAATCCTTTTTTACACTCCACGTTTGTTTGCACTGGAAAAGCGTATTGTAAAAATCAACAAATGGACCATTTAGCCCCCTTCTTACACACACACACACACACATGTCACAAGCTCTTCTATAGTCTAGTTCTATAGTTTCTACAGACTTGTTATGAATGTAAACGCGCACGAAATTCAATGTTATCCCCATTCCGCCCCTCTTCGTCCTTAGCATCGATTAGAGGATGCGCGTATTTCTGTAATATTATTTATTGCTATTATTAATAAAGTTAATTTATCATTATTATTAAATCGCGTCGCTCGGTAAAGGGGATCATACGTTATAAGTGAGAACAATCAAAGCGTCCATGTGAAAGCTCTGCGAATTTTATGTAAACGAGTTGCGATGTATCCATCTCGATCAATGATCCAATCACCGATGTTTCTAAATCCAAAATATATCTACATATATGTGCGCGCTATTCTCGATTGGTTTGTTTTTGAACGCCAGTATTAGTTGTATCGCGTTCAGAACGCGGACGCTCTTCGAGAGTTCGAAATTAGATTATTGTAAAATTCCTTTCGTAAAATGACTGTAATCGTTTTAATCAGTTCAAATTTTGAAGATTTTCCCCGAGATTGTTAGATTTTGTTAGAATATAGCTGAATGAAAAATGATATATTACAGGAAGAAAAATTCCATCTGCAGGATTTAGCTGCGAGACTTAGAATCTGCGAAATAAGAAAAGTACATTTTCGCATCGTGTTCGTGTATCAAAATTGATGTATGTTAGCCCGCAAAGCCAAAGCGACGAAGAGAAAAAATTGACGCGTCGTGCGTAATCACCTACTATACGCGGCGCGAGAGAGTGTGTATAATTAAATAATTAGGAGGCAACAAAACCCTTACGAAAAATTGTACAAATTTCCACACAATTAGGTGATATAACATTTGTAAAGATAAAAGGAAGAAGTTTCAACGCGATTTTTATTAATATATAAATACGATTCTGAAGCGGTTTCTCTTGCGGTAGGCAAGACAGAAGAGTCATGTAAGCTAACGGACGTTCCTCGCATTTCACCCACCTAGTAGAAATATTAAAATGCGTGTCCCTAACGTGTCATCGATGAAGCGAGGAAATTAATAATGATGAGAGATAAGCATAGTATACGCGTATACATGTGTACCAAGTACGCTCGCGATTAATAAAAAATGAAACAAAGAATATATCGTTCGTTTGTAATCACCGAGTTGAGGCTTGTTTTTTCACATAAAGGTTTTACGAATACACGTTCTACATATCTCTGTTTCTATCTCTCTTTCTCTCTCTCTCTCTCTCTTTCTCTCTCCCTCTCTCTGTTTCTCTATCTCTCTTTCTCTTTCTCTTTCTCTTTCTCTTTCTCTTTATCTTTCTCTTCTCTTTCTCTTTCTTTTTCTCTCTCTCTCTCTCTCTCTTTCTCTCTCTCTCATTATAGACGATAATAAACTTATGAAATGATTAAGCATAAATATATTGAACGAATTACTTAAGGAAAACTATATTATGACGCTGTCTATCTATACATACTGTATAAAGGCATCCTGTAACTTCATTATGATTACTATTAAAATATTACACTTCAAGTTGGTTACCTAAGCGATAATGCCACCTATCAATTTTCCTTTGCCTTGTATTCCTCTAAGAAGATTTTAATCTAATAAGCTTTGATAAATTTTATTATTCTGTACATTGTCCACACAGATTTAATAGAAAAAGATAAATAATACAATATAAAATAGAAAAACAATATTATATTCTTCTTAAATAATCACATAGTAGCCTTTAATACAAAAGTAGAAGAGACAAATCAAAATAAATTAGAAACTTTGTTTTCTAGAGAAAATATACTTTTATATAAAACAAGCTATTTTTTAACAATAAAAAAATTTTTGGCATGACTAGATCATAAATTATTCTGTGCTATCATTATTTGTTTTATTATTAAGTATTTATGATCAAAATAAAAACCATAAGAATAAAAATAAAAATTAATATATGTTTCACTTTTATTAATTAAACAATTTCAAGACTCGCGGGCGCTTATTTATGTATCCATCTCATTTTTGACAAAATATGACACGTATTTCGATTTTCATAATTAGAAGAATCAAATGTAACATGTCATTTCTTCAGTGCTCGCTCTCTATTGACTTGTGCTGCGCTCTGGTACCGCATACTTCGAGATAAGCTTGATATTTATCAAATGATTGCAAATAAATTAATAATAAAATTCACAAAAACAATCTATAAGCGTAACAGTATGCACCTGTTTTATATGCTTTTCATTAAAACAGTTTGAAAACTTGCAAAATACAAAGAGGCTTCTCTTTTATCGACGATAAATAAGATCTGCTCTAAAGGCAAGAGCTGCAGCAGTTGATGTCCATTCATCCTTAAGACGCTAGATTACGCTTTATCTCACAATTTGTATCGTTCAGCCATATAATTGTTTTTATAAAAAAGAAAGTACATGTTTTAAATTGTAAGAAAATTTTAAGAGAAAAAATCATAAATTATTTTTATTTTTACAATTTTTGATAATATTGATAAATCTCCATGATACACGTTAGAAAAATTGCTTATAATTGTTATTGACAATTTAATATTATTGATAATTGTGCAATTAACTTAAAAAATTAAAAAACAAACGTTATGAAATGCAAAGAAACTCGACTATCCTTCAGTGATTAGACGAGTTAATTGACGGCTGACCTGACGTTGAATTAATGAAGGTTGAACTTTGCCTGTACTGGTACGATCGTTTGAATCGATCCTCGACGCCCACTCGATCCGACGTATTATCGTACTCCATTCGATCCCATTCAAGTCTGTCTGACTGAACAACAATGTTCGCACATACATTACACAAACTCTTATCGTTGAATCGCCAAAGAAAACAAGTAAATGTCGCTGCGAGTAATTTGATGGTATAACAGTTATCACTCTAATAACGTCGTTTAGTAAATTGCATTATAAATAACATACACAAATTATTTCTCTACTTATAATTATATTGTAAAATAACAATTTGATCATTATATAGCCATTCTGTTTAAATTTATGTAAAACATTTACACATTTTTATCTTTATCTCTAAATAAAATATAATTACTTGTTATATTTCATATCGTCGGTATGTAATTAAGTATTATTATCTTTTTTGCATTCTCCCGCCATACTTACGGATCTTTGCTGCGCGCGTAAGTGCCAAGGTGATAACATTGTTACGTAAAGTTATCGCGGAAGAAACTCGGATAACACGCTCTCTAGTTCACGCTTTGATAAAATAAAAAGTCAAATTGATACTCTCGTTATACTGCTTAATAATACTATTTAAAGTATAAACTTATTTGAATTCTTTAGGGTTGATTACAGAGCGTTGCGTTTAAGTAAGCATTATGTCATAATCTAAACAATTTTCTGTTTGCCAGCAAAAGTGAACATAGTTGCAGAAACAAATCGACAACTCTGTCGAAAAACTTCACGAAATTTTACAACTCCTGTTAAATATTTACCCAGTAATTTGCGTGAAAAATATATATCGCTTTACGTATCAAGTCTCGCAGTCTGATTTAATAGCAAAAAAAGCACCGTCTTCATCAACAAAGTTGTAAGAAGTTAATATCCACGCCATATAACTCATCGCGACGCGAAACCAAGATTTTTTCGACGCGCTGATGAAGGGCACGGACGGGATAATCAAAAGAGGCATATAGGTAGAGAAAAAAAATATTGAAATACAAGCTAGGAATTTGATATATTTGGACAATAAATTTGGTATTGTTAGAAAAATATAAAAACCTTAAAGTGCTTATATAATCATGTTCCTATTTTCTTCTTGTAAGACGGCCAGCGAAAAGTAATGATCAATGTCCAGCAGAGTACTCGGTTTCGGGAAAAAAAATCGCCAGTCAATCGTACCGGAAGTATCGACGGCGCCTTCAAGATTTTGATAGCGCGATCAATGCAATCGATACGCTCGCGTGAATGAAAGCTAGGATGCAAGTAGAAGAAAGGAAATGAGACGGAAAGGGGAAGAAGGCGCGAGAGGATTTCTTCGCGTTGCGAAAAGGCGTCGGACGGCTCTCGTTTGTAGCTCAAGAACGGAGATAGGGGTATCGGCGATCGCTCCGAGCCACAAAAGAGCGGCCCGAGACAAGCGCGAGCGAGTCTACAACGGCATCGATGAGGCAATAATTCTACGCGCCAACGAACATTATTGCCAACGTGACGTTGACAAAAACGGCCAAGTTAATCACGAAATTCCACGCGGTCTCAGAGTGGACCCGCGCGTTTAGAAAGTGGAAAAAATCGTACCGGGTCGATCGATCGATTAGCGGTACAGATCGATAGTACGTCGCTAATAATAGTGCTATTTATTATTTATGACTTTTGATGGGAACTTTAATTAAATCCGCGACCGCGAAATTTTCTTATTCCAGTTGCGCAAATCAGGCAGTTCCTTCTCAATTAGATGAGAATTTAAATAAGAATTAAAATTGTGATTGAGAATTTTAATTGCATGTGAAATGTGAATTGTCTCAGCAAAGCGGAAAAAAAATAAAGGAGAAACCGGAGACGTAACGTACCTACACTTGCAGCGTGTAATTGATTTATTTTCGGTACACGAATTCCGAGAGAATCGAAACGCGTGCTTATTCGTCGCGCTCGCGGATTAAATGAGTTTCCGCGAGCGCGCCGATCGCGAATCCCGTCTTGCTTGGGATATCAGACTCTCCTTTTAGGACACCAGCCGACCAGCTATATCGAGTCTTGCTCACTCGTTTTTCTTATTTCTCATCTCGGCACGTCGCGCGTCTCCTTTCATTTTAACGCATGATCGCACACCCGATCTGACCGGCGCAACACACCCACCGATCTCTAATCCCGCCGTGTGTACGCAGAGACGGCCGGTCGGCTCATAGATCGTGAAATAGAAAACGAATAGCCCGGTTGAGAGAGAGATGCACGGTTATCCGTTTACAAATAATTTCCCGGCCGATAAATTATGCGC